ACTTGCGTCAGTGAAAGACTCTGGCAAGGGAGAGGTAGCAGGGAAAGGCTCCAGCAGTGAGGAGCTGCCGGAGCCTTTCCCCAATGCCTCCTTGCTTCCCGAGTGTTTCCCTGCCATGGGGACGAGCTTTGGCAACTCTCTGTGATGGGGAAAAGCTCTATCAATGAGGAGGCAGCAAGAAACTATACTGCTAAAAATAGCAGTGTAGACATGGGAGCCACTGCTTCAGCGTGTAGAAAGCTGTATAGGGTGCATACCTTCAGGGTTCAGGGCTGTCTTTTTACATTCCAAAGCAGTGCAGCACTATCTACATTGCTATTTATACCCATGCTAGGGAGGCATAGTGTATGTATTCTACATGCCACTGTGAAGAGTGTGCAGCATAGATGTACCCTTACTCTGTATTTTCTCACCTAGTCACTGCCCACTTCCTGAAAGATGTAATTCTAGACTTCCCTCCAGTGGCAAAACATGTACTAGCCTGGGACTTGAACCTTGTTTTATCAACCCTTACTAAGGCCTGGTCCCCACTAAGCCCCCACTGCGGACTAAGGTACGCAAATTCAGCTACGTTAATAACGTAGCTAAATTCGAAGTACCTTAGTCCGAACTTACCGCGGGTCCAGACGCTGCAGGCAGGCTCCCCCATCGATGCCGCGTACTCCTCTCGCCGAGCTGGAGTACCGGCGTCGACGGCGAGCACTTCCGGGATCGATTTATCGCGTCTAAACCAGACGCGATAAATCGATCCCAGAACATGGATTGCCTGCCACCGGACCCTCCGGTAAGTGTAGACGTACTCTTAGTCACTGTTCAAGTCGCTGGCATCCTGCTCTCTACTACATATCTCCATAAAGATAGCATTTTTGGTCACTATCATCTCAGTCAGAGTCTAAGACAGGGGTCAGCAACCTTTCAGAAGTGGTGTGCCGAGTCTTCATTTATTCACTCTAATTTAAGGTTTCGCGTGCCAGTAATACATTTTAATGTTTTTAGAAGGTCTCTCTCTATAAGTCTATAATATATAACTAAACTATTGTTGTATGTAAAGTAAATAAGGTTTTTAAAATGTTTAAGAAGCTTCATTTAAAATTAAATTAAAATGCAGAGCCCCCCCGGACTGGTGGCCAGGACCCGGGTAGTGTGAGTGCCACTGAAAATCTGCTCGTGTGCCGCCTTTGGCACGTGTGCCGTAGGTTGCCTACCCCTGGTCTAAGAGCTAGGCAGTGCTCATGGCTTATTCTCCCTTCCTTCTCCTCCCCCGATACAGTTCTCCACTAGGCCAAGGTATCCATGAAACTACATCTGAAATTCATTCCTAAGGTGGTGTCAGATTTTCACATGAACTAAAGTATCCAACTACTGTTTTTAACAGTAAACCTCTTTCTAGCAGGGAAGAGGTTGCATGGCACTTACTAGATGTGTGTAGGGCTCTTACCTTTTACCTGCAAAGGATGAAATTACTTCAAATGTCATAGACTTTGTCATTTGTGGAACAAATGAAAGGAGAAGCCATTTCGTGCCAGAAACAGTTGAAATAGATCTCAGTTTGCATCCTACTCTGCTACAAGATTAACATCTCCCTTGAGGGCATTGTGAGAGCACACTTGACTAGAGCTCAGGCAGCATCTGAAGTGTCCCTTAGAGTTGTCCCCCTTACTGACATCTGCACAGCAACAAATTGGAGTTTTGTACACATCTTTGCGAGACACTATCCCTTGGTGCAAGCAGCTGCTTCTGATGGTGCTTTAGGCAGAGCAGTTCTGCAATCTATTGTGTCATAGGACACCAGGCACCCACCTCCTTTAAAGGGACACTGCTTGTGAATGAACTGAAGTGCACTACACATAAGACAAATTAATTGGAGAAGGAGGGGTTACTTACTTTGTAATAACTTCAGTTCTTTAAGATGTTGTCCCTATGTCTAGTGCAGTGGTCTCCAAACTTTTTTGATCGCGCACCCCATCAGTAAAAAAATTTTGAGCACGCACCCCCTGCTCCTGGCCAAACTGTGGAAGCAAAAATAAATAAATAAATAAAAGTCACTCCGGCGGTGCTGCTCCTGCCGTATCCCCCCTCCCCCCGAAGAATACTCTTGCGCGCACCCCACTTTGGAGACCACTGGTCTAGTGCACTGCCTGCCCTCATTCCCCATTGCCTGGTTTCCCCCTACTGGGGACTGACGGTAGTGAAGGAACTAAGTTGCTGGTGGTTTGGCAGCCTCCTTTATTCCCTAAATGCAGAGTGCAAGGAGAGTGGTGGCACATGCATATGGATCAGGCAGACAGTGCTAAGGAAAAATCTCCAGTCCTGGGTGTATGGAGCGCCTGTGCAACCCAAAAGTGCCCTACACAAAGGGACAGCACATCTTGAACTGAAGTTACTACATGGGAAGTAACCTATCCTTATGGAAGGTGTACCACCTCAGAGTCATGGACATCTGGGCCAGTATGCCTTGGCCGATCCTATGGATTTGAAGGAGGAATATATCTGTTAGACAATTCCCTTCACACTCCTTTGTCGCTTCACTATTATTCACATATGCTTCAGTGTGGGTTAGGGTTCTCATCTACATCTCCACATACTTCAAAGTTTCTTGATTCTGCAGGAGATGAGGCAGCCTGATACTATCCCTCCTTGCCTCCTCTTGTCCCAGCCAGAATACACATAGCATTGGACATGAGCGTCTTGGGATAGGGAGCACACAAGGATGCCTTCTCAGCACAGCACAAAAACACCCAATGCAATTGGGTTAGCATTTATTGGTGTTCAGAAGGTTAATTCAAGGAAAATACAACCTCATAAAGTGAGGCACATCAATAGTTGCGTACTTGAATCGGCAGTATGACATGAAAAAACCCACTCTGCTTAGGGAGTCTGCCTCTTTTGCAGTTCTGCTTTCAGTAGGGCCTTATTTAATCTGGGTCACCTTAAATGCACAGTGAATTTGCTAAACTGATACAAGTTTCTTCCAGGGGAGTGGTCATTAAAGGCAGAGATATTACACCATTTCTTAAGGATCTGTTGTATCTCCATTGTTGACCTGTTGGCAATATATTTCCATGACAAACTCTCCCCTTTTTTAAAATGTATCTGGACATAGAAACACCAGCTAAAGGCATGCTTTACTGTTCCAAGGAATTTTCCTTGGCTTATACATTTCCTCCCTTCCAGGTCATATTAAATAATAATAATATTTTGTATTACTGTAGCACTTAAGAGCCCTAGTCATGGAGCAGCACCGCATTGTGCTAGGTGTTGTACAAACACAGAACAAAAAATACTGTCTCTGCCCCAAAGAGCTTACAATCTAAGTATAAGACGAGACAACAGATGAATACAGACAGATAGATCTGGGAGTACAAGAAAACAGCAAAACAGTATTGGTCAGCATGATAGGCAGTTAAATGTCTTAAACAGCACTAGTCATCCTGTGACTCTTTTAATCCTAATTTCCCCAGATTGGCCAAGGGAAGGTGTTGCCTAGACCTGCTGATGCTTTCCCAAGGGGTATATATCCCTCTGCTCTCATGCTGACACCATCTTGGGCCCAGTAATGCCTAGAACCCAAGTGTATTAAATCTTTTTGAATTGGTCCACAACAGGGCACTCCTGAAGTGGTAAAGCATCTCCGGATGCCCTGACCATAAGAACGGCCATACTGGGTCAGACAAAAGGTCCATCTAGCCCAGTATCCTGTCTTACGACTGGCCAATGCCAGGTGCATCAGAGGGAATGAACAGAACAGGTAATCATCAAGTGACCCATTCCCCGTCGCTCATTCCCAGCTTCTGGCAAACAGAGGCTAAAGACACCATCCCTGCCCATTCTGGCTAATAGTCATTGATGAACCTATCCTCCATGAATTTATCTAGTTCTTTTTTGAACCCTGTTAGTCTTGGCCTTCACAATATCCTCTGGCAAAGGGTTACACAGATTGACTGTGCGTTGTGTGAAGAAATACTTCCTTTTGTTTGTTTTAAACCTGCTGCCAATTAATTTCCCCTAGTTCCTGTGTTGTTATGAGAGAGTAAATAACACTTCCTTATTTACCATGCTGCACCCACAAAAAAGAGAAAACGAAAGAGGTACAATGAGGTGAAGGTGGCACTTTCCACATGATACAGGATAAGCCTTTTTTAAGAAAAAGATTCAGAATCCCCCCCATATTAGATTTTCTACAGAAGATTTTCCATTGAAGACCCTTTTACATTAAAGGCTCTGCACTTCAGAATCTTCAGCAGTCTTGCAGAGGTGGTGTACAGTGGAATCTTTCCTCTGCCTTTCAGATAGCCCCTCATTGGTTCTAGGGCAACTGTACTTAATCCCCTTAGAGTTGTGCGAACCGCCCTTCAAGATTTTCCATTTGGTAGATTTGTGGTTCTGCCTTCTGACATTAGTTCTGGATAGCAATCAAGTTGGCCAAGAAAATTAGAATTCTTGTACTTCACCTTAGTCCTCCATATTTGCTATTCCCTAGTGACAAGATGATCTTCAACACTTATCTTAGTTTTTGCCAAAATCCCTGTCTTCCTTTCCCCTAACCAGGGTACCACTTTCCAAGCTTCTGTCCTGATCCTAAATCAGAAAGGGAAAAGTCTACCACACCTTAGATTTCAAAAGGACTTAAGTATGTACACCTCTACCCCGATATAATGCGACCCGATATAACACGGATTCGGATATAACGCGGTAAAGCAGCGCTCCGGGTGGGGCGGGGCTGTGCGTTCCGGCGGATCAAAGCAAGTTTGATATAACGCGGTTTCACCTATAACACGGTAAGATTTTTTGGCTCCTGAGGACAGTGTTATATCGGGGTAGAGGTGTACTTAAATCAGTAAGATTGAGGTGAATGCATCCTCTTTTCTTCTCGTTCAAGGATAAGATCTAGTATCTAGCAGTAGAAATTGTCAGTAATGGTGAGGTTAATCACTACAATCAATTTTGGTTATAGTTTATTGCAGATTTATTTTAATAATCTGTCTTTTTTTCCCCTGCAGATAAGCAGCAAAGATGAAGATTTTTTAGACCTTTCTGTTGATGTAGAGCAAAATACATCAATTACTCACTGCTTAAGGTACATGCACAAACAAATGCTTATATATTTATTTGAGTCTTTAATCTGTCACCATGTTAACTAATAATAAATTGATGAAGATGAAAATGGAAGAAGTAAAGCAAAATAGCTCAGGTTAATTTGATAGTCCAAATGTTTATTTTACATGCTTATTGTCCCTGTTTATTTAAAATGACCATGTAAACTCATGATGTAAAACAGTGTGATTTTTATTTTGTTTAAAAATCAGTATATATTTCAAAATCAAGGAGTAGTTTCTACATCTTGCATTTTCCTTTCTGTTATATTCAGGGGTTTCAGCAATACAGAAACTCTGTGCAGTGAATACAAATATTACTGTGAAGAATGTCGCAGTAAACAGGAAGCACATAAAAGGTATAGTGTACTTAGAAAATATGTATTTCCATTTTTGGAACTTGTTAATGATTTAAAAAAAAAAAAAATTCCCTCTCTGATTCTGTGGATGCTTATCATGAATAACTTACTGAGTTGTACTCCACTTACTTTGAGTTCAATGGAAATATTCAGATAAGTAATGTTACTTATATGCATAAGTGTTTGGTTTGGGCTCTTGATCATCTTGATTTATTTCAAGGAAAGAATACAGCTTGTCTTTTAGGAACAAAACAAACTAGAAACGATGGGTGAAAATCAAGCTGTAAAACAGTGACAATCATACATTTTGCATGACTTTTTAAACTTGTCTGTATTTTTCTTAGCTATAATATTAAGTTGAGAAAAGATGGTAAGATCAAAAACATTAATGGCATTACTTAGTAGAGGTAGCATACATAGAATAATTCAGATTAACCGTATAGGTCTTAACGTCTATTATAAGAGAGATTCATAGCAATAGTTGACAAACCTGTATTTTTCTTTGATTCAATCAGAATTAATCTTGTAATAATATCACCATTTTTACTTTTTTCTCTTTTCTTATAAATTTAAGTTATTATATTAAACTACTACCTGACATAGTCCTTCCAAAAAGCAGCACAAAGTTTCTTGGAAGACTGAAATATTTTCTGTTTAGAAAAAATTCTTGCCCTTTGCCTAACATTGTAATATTTTTCTTTCACCTTTTAAGAACATTTTTACTGAAAATGATTTGTTTTTTATTAGGGAGACAACCAGCCCCCCGCAGGTGAGGTAATGTGTATTGGACCAACTTATGTTGGTGAAAGAGACAAGCTTTTGAGCAACACAGAGCTCTTCATCAGGTCTGGGAAAGATGTTCAGAATGCTTTTTATTAGTTTCTCTTGCACAGGTTTTATTTTATTTATTTATTTATTTATGCACTGAATTTTTTTTTTCAAAATAAAATTCCATTATGTGAAACATAACTCATCTGTATTAGTTCACATATGCTGGCGAGGGCTTATTAGTTGTGAAAGCAACCAATTACGTGTTACTGCACAGTGTGACACAACTCACAGGATCACTCTCAAACAAAATTAATAGATGCATTGACAGTGTTATATTCATAGATTCATAGATTCTAGGACTGGAAGGGACCTCGAGAGGTCATCTAGTCCAGTCCCCTGCCCGCATGGCAGGACCAAATACTGTCTAGACCATCCCTGATAGACCTTTATCTAACCTACTCTTAAATATCTCCAGAGATATTCATACATGTACATCAAGCACCATATAATTCTTAATAGGCCACAAAACAGCAGGTCCACGTAGAGCACAGAACAACAAAATGCATTACTGTGGCTCACTATTACAGTGATTTTTTCAAAGCTTCCCTAAGCTGTATAGTGCAATGAACAGGGCATGGACAGTCAGGTCTAGTGGTCAGACTCAGACCCATTGGCTGAAGCAAAGGGTCAAAACCAAAGATAATGTCAGGTACCAAACCAAAGTTCAGAGTCAGAGATGGTGTCAGGTGGCAAGCCAGAGGTCAGAGCTGGAGACAGAGTCAGAGGTAAGGTGGAGGAGCAGGGACCTGGCGTGTAGGGCAGGACAGCAGGAACTAGAAGTAGACAGGAGTCTGGGATAGGAGGACAGAAACCAGGAGCAAGCAGGAATGCAGGACTCAGGAGTCAGGTAGGGAAGAGGGGTCAGTAATAGTAGCCAGTCAGCTAGTTGCTCAGACAACTTCCTGTTGTTACTTCCTGGTTTATATAGAACCCTTCAACCAGACAGGGGGCTGGATGTTTCCCCAATTGGGAGCTTTGGGGGCAGGGCCCTCTGCAAGCTAACCCTTTGCTGGACCGTCTCCTGATTAACCAGGTGAGCTTCTGGATGTTGGTCGTCACCTTGGCATTGCCTAGGGACATGTTGGCCCGGGTTTGAAGCCCATGATCCCTCACATCTAGCTCCACGTTCAGTTGTTTTAATAGCCCTTCTGTCTGGCTGTTCAAACTCAGGAGACCAGCTGCCCACCTCTTCCCTCCACCCCAGTGGAAACTTTTCTCCCTTTGCTTCACAGATATTATGCAGGATACAGCAGGAAACTATGACCATTGGGATATTTTTCTCACTGAGGTCTAATTTTGTGAGTAAACAATGGCAACGTCCCTTCTGTCTACCAAAAGCACATTCAACTGTCATTCTGCACCTGCTGAACCGGTAGTTGAATCTCTCCTTGGTGCTGTCGATGTGGCCAGTGTACAGCTTCATGAGCCAGGAGAGCAACAGGTGTGCTGGGTTGCCCAGGATCACTATCGAAAGCTTGTCTCTCTCTCACCAATAGAAGTTGGCCCAATAAAGATATTACCTCACTCACCTTATCTCTCTAATATCCTGGGACTGTCACGGCTACAACTAGGCTGCATGTGGGATTGCTATTGACATTTTAAGATTCTCAATTACAATCTTCCTGTCAGGAAAGAAGTTCCTACATGAAGACGCGGGTGTCCTGCACCACAACACTGATGTCAGTGCAGTGTCCCTGGTGATTCACCAGTGCTTGCATAACCACAGAAAAGTAGCCCTTTCTGTTGATGCACTCTGTAGCAAGGTGGTCTGGTGCCAAAATAGGGATATATGTGCTGTCTATCATCTAGTTCGGTTTCCTATTGGGGAACCCCATTGCTGCAAATCCATCCACTATGTCCTGCACATTGCCAAGAGTAACAGTCCTGCGTAGCAGGAGACCATTAATGGCCCTGTACACTTGCATGACGACAGCATCCGCAGTGGATTTTTCCAACGCCACTTTGATTTCCAACTGACTGGTAGCAATTTGGCATCACAAGTTTCCACAATGCAATCAACACGTGCTTTGCCACTGTCAGTGCAACTCTCATTTTGGTGTCTGTGTGCTGGAGGGCTGGGGTGAGCTTAATACACAGATCCAGGAATGTGGCTTTGTGCATCTGAAAGTTCTGCAGCCACTGCTCATCATCCAAGCCTGTATTATGATGCGATTCCTCCAGTCAGTGCCCATTTCTCAGGCACAGGAAGCGGTGTTCCCCCACCAGCAGCTGCTCTGTGAATGCCACCAACAACCTTGAATTGGTTCTCGTTTTGTCCCAAAGCAGTCTGTCCTCCAAGAAATCATGTTCCCCACTGTTTTGGTTCTTCTTGCAGCTCTGCAATTACTGCAGGATTCTGTGCCCTGTGCTTGCAATGCTTATGAAAATAGTGCAGAACTGTGCAAATGCCATACTTCTGTCAGAGATGGTGGACAGCGAGGAAGGCCACATATGTTTGTGGGATTTTGAAAAAAAAAAAAAGGTGCGAAAATGATGGCAGACTGATGACATTATGGGATAGAGATAGTTGTACTGGGACTGTTGACCTCTTGCTGCCAGTCAGCCCTGCACAACTTGTTTTTGCCCCACCATGCATTGGCAAAATTTCCAAAAGGCAGTGTGCCTGATGGTGATGGGTTGTACACTGGGGTATCTGCCCATGGTGCACTGCACTGTGCATTGATACAAGTGTTCCTGATGAGTATGCGCACTGCCCACACAAGAGGAAAAGTATGAGTGCGCACAAGCAATATGCTAACTACAGTAGCTTTATGCCAACATAACTTAAAATCGACAAAAGTTTGTAGTGTAGACATGGCCTAAGGTGCTGTTTCTGATTATACCATAGCTCTAACATGTCATTTTGGGTAAGTCTCTTAAACTCATTCCTGAAGTTCACTAATACTTACTGATGTTTATTTAGCAGGCGCTGAGATTCTCGGGTGAAAGGTTTTCAGAAAGATATCTTCTTTGTGATATTAAAATTATCACAGAAACTGATTAATTTCACAGTGACTTCAAATGAAGAATAAGTAGAACGAGAATAATGCACAAACAAAGGCACTCAATATTCTTTCTAGTATTAGTGGGGGTTAGAAAAAGTGGAGAGATGCAGAAGTGGATACAGTATAAACAAAATTATGATAAAATTGTTTATTTTTCAAAACTCCATAAGTTTAGTCATCCAAAAAATAAAACTCATGAAAAAGGGTTTCACCATAATGTTCACAATAGGTACGCTAAATAAAAGAGCACTGATTCCAAGCTCTGAGTACCTTTTACAGTTTATTATAAATTTTAAAATGGACTCCAGCAATTACACCATCATCAAGCAATAATGTGAATATAACAAAAATCTAGTAAGTCCCACCCAAAAAATCATCACCAGAGTCCTCTCTCTTTTCCCAACTTTGCCCATTTCCTATCTCCTTACAGGTCAAGGTGAAAATGTCAGCCTTGCACAATGCCTGAAAGGTTAATAAGCTCAAACTGTCATGGACTAAAGGTGGAGACAAGTTTCAAAGACCTGTGATGCTAATGGCAGCCCCCCGCCACCCATCTCTTATGACAAACAGGCTGTAGCTGGCACCTTCCCTGTCATATATACAGAGGTGGTCTCTTAGATAGGTAAGCACCAAGGTCACTTAGGGCTTTATAGGTCAAAGCCAACACCTTAAAATCAACATGAAAACTAATGGCCAGTGCAGATAATCAAGTACTGGTTTAATGCACTTCCTAAAAGAAATACTGCTTAATAAAAAGACCACCAAATTCCACACCTGCTGCAATTTTAAGAGGTAGCGCCATAATCTAATCTCAAAGTGACAGTCCACTGCAAGGCCCACATCTGAAAGTAACTGTTGCAACCTCCTGCCTGTTTAGATGAATAAAAGAGTTGACCTAGGTATAACTGCTATCTGTTTCTCTACTAGTAGCTGGGAGTCCTAATGAGATTCCCACATTAATGAACCCAGTCAACAAATGATCAGATGATCATAGAATATGAGGGTTGGAAGGGACCTCTGGAGATCATCTAGTCCAACCCCCTGCTTAAATGAGGACCAATCCCCAACGATTTTTTTGCCCCAGATCCCTAAATGGCCCCCTCAAGGATTGAACTCACAACCCTGGGTTTAGCAGGCCAATGCTCAAACCCCTGAGCTATCCCT